GAAGAGAAGAAGAGAAGAAGAGAAGAAGAGAGAAGTCGACGTGCGATTTAGATTGGGCAGTTCGTGGAACGCTATGCATGTGAATGAGCTCGCCGGAGTGGCTATGTGTGGGCACCGAACGCCTTCTAGATGCAAAAAGAACCTCCACCATGCCGACATATGAAAGTGATTGAACCCTCTATGCAATGAAACTCGTCCCAGTATCCTCCATGCTACAACTACCTTCTGAAGTAGTCATTCCCCCCCTCGCCATCCCTCTCCGGACTATACGGCGTATAGCCACTTGAGGTCTGATGACCCATCGGCGCCGCGCCACTCAGTAGGTTGTGATCATCGTGGATCTGATATGGTTGGCTCGAGTTGCTTTCAACATGGCGCAACTCAGGCTCCGGACTGGGACTGTACTCCCGCAGGTTGCTGGGCGTTTGATGGTAGCCTGCCGGATATGTAGCACCGTCCTCGTTGCCACCTCTTGTCGAGCCGCGACTTGATGATCGCCCGCGTCCGTTGTCACCCCAAAGTGTCGACGGCGAGTCAGGGCGACTGCTGTCACCATACATAGAGCCGCGGTCAGAGTTAAACTCGGAGCGGTCTTTGAAGTTCTCGTAATCCATGTTATTCTCGGAAACGAACTCGAAGGGTCCAGTCGCTGTTGTTGCGATCTTGCCCGGATTCTCCGTGCTCATGCGCTTCATGGAGTAGACGTCACCGAAAGCTGCGTTATCGCCTACATCGCCATCAAGGCGCCCGCGATAGACTTCTGCGAGGAGATGCTTGCTCTTCTCGTGCACCATTGGTACGGTCAGCTTCTGGTAGAGAGCAGGGTGTCCGAAGCGGGTTGCGACGCGGTCGCGTCTGCGCAATTCCTTGTCGATTGGTGTCTGGGCCTCGGCGCCCTTGTTTGTGTTGCCGTGGGTGTAGTACTTTATCGAGTGGTCATATGTCTTCTTGCAGTAGATCTTGAAGCCGAGCAAAAGGAATGGCAGGGGAGCCATAGCAGCCGCCATTATATACTGCGATGTGCCACCTTTGGTCGCGACCAGACATATGGTGATGACATTTGCCAGGAAGGCACCAAACAGCATACGGTTGAACAAAACGCGCCAGAAGAGGCCTCCTGTCTCGTTCTTGGTGCAGAACACGTACCTATAGGTGATTAGTTATTGCAGTGTGAGCCGAGCTGCGATGCACTTACATCAACAGATACTTCTTCATCCAGGAGTCGAGGGTAAAGTAAAATGCAGTGACAACGAGAGTAATGGGTTGCAATGACCCAAAGACCAGAGTGACTGTCGAGTAGAATAAGAAGTAGTTGTAGTAGCTCGTGTAGTCAAATGGAGGCGGAGCGGTTCGCTTGATGAGTTCTCGAGGTGTTGGGTTCAGGAACTTGCGCGAGAAGGAGCCCCAAGCCAGATTGACAGCCTGGGACAGATCGATGACCGCACCGAGGTTGCGCTGGACGAGCCAAGTGACCCAGTACGCCGATACGTTACAAAGTGCACCCATGAGCTGCTGGAAAGGCTCAATGGACCTGACGACTGCTGCGAAGCTTGCGTCGCCCTGACGTGCCGCTAGAGCGCTCATGATGATCTGAAAGACGGCCGAAAAGATCGAGAAGACTACGAGATTGTTGAAAACGAAGAAGGCATAGAGCTGATGGAGGACATGCTTCTCGCGGGAGCTCTTCGACTGGTCACCGGCTTTGATGGACAGGCGACGAAAGATGATGGGCAGAAAATAGTAGAACAGCGAAGTCAATGCTGGCGCCAAAATACCTTGCACAACGGCCCAGAATTTAGGGTGTGCGCTCATCTCTGTCTTGAAAGCGTCCCAAAAGAGGGCGAGATTGTTGAGTTTGGACAAGAAGATAGCAATACCGGCGTTTGGAATGAAGTAAAGAACTGTGAGCAGGGTGATCCACATATTCATTACGAAACGTCGCCATCGTCTCTGTTTTGGATTGAGGAGCAAGTTCTTCCAGATGATGTCCTTTGGCTGGGGAGCAAGGCGAACAGTGGTCCCTTGGGGGTGCTTACTGCGTGCGGCAAATGCAACAGTGTGTGCAGACTCGAGGGTTTCGTAGCTGGCGAATCCAAAGCGCATGGCATCCCTGTTGTCAACCGTCTCACGAGCTTCCTTGATCTTCAGCTCCAGACGCTGGATTCTCGCAGTCAGGTAGTCAATGGCGTCCACCTTCTGCTTCTTGTCCGTAAACTCCGGATCCTTCTTAGATGGTGTGCATAGCGGGCGCTCGACAGGCAACTGATTTGGGTTCTTCAAGTACTTTGAAAGGACCGCCTCCAACTCCATGACGGCTTCCTCATGCGCTTCGATCATATCTGGGATGTCCTTGACGTTCCTGCCAATAGTTGTGCGCGGTACTTCTGGCGTGGTCTTCAAGCTGTCCGTGATCTCCAGCAGGCCATTGTCGCTACGCAGGTTCTTGCTAATGTCGGTGACCATCAGAGTTCTAGCGTGCAGACTGTTTTGATAGTCGGCGCTCTCCATGTATCTGCGTCGCAGTCGGTGCACAGCTCGGTATGTCCGCCACAAGAAACCGCAAACAATGATGTCGAAGATGTATGCGACAACCACGTGAGCCCAGAAAACCTCACCGGACAACTGTGAGGGCGTCATCATGACAAAGATGTATTTCGACTCGTCGCCCAAGTTCTTGATCCTGCCCTGTCTGATCGAATAGGTAATGTTGACGGGAATGATAATGGCGCAACCAAAGACAGCCAGGGTGATGAACATATTGCGGCACATTCTTGCGAACCGAAGGAAGACAGTTGCGTCCAGGCCGATCCGGTCGACATAATAGTCCTCGTTCGTCTTGAACACGGGCTTGTACCAGGCGAACAGCGACTTGTCGAGCGGCGGCGGTCGGTGCTTATCATCTGTGTGCCGTAGGCGGGGAGCGTAAACGATAGTATTGAAAGGTCGCAGCAGTAGGAAGGCCAGGAAGATGGCACCGGTGATACCGAGCGAGGTGCCGATAGCGATAATGACCGAGTCTGACTGCACCTACGACACATTGTCAGTGTACGTCTTAGGCACTCGTCCGCGTGGTGCGTACTTGAGAACCCAATGGGTCCTTGTTCATAATCTCTTCGAACTTCTGCCCGATGCTCTCGTCCCGCGAGAGCAGCCATGTTGACAGTGTCGAAGCCATTGTGCGCGTGTGCGCGTGGAAGAGCGAGCGTGACTGCGTGTGCGCGCGGGCGAGGGTGGGTATGACGAGCGTCGAGACGAGGGAGGTGCTCAGCACATGCCTCGTATTCGTGATGGTTTCTCTGCTGTGGCGCAAGACCGACTGTGGTGGTCGCAGAGACGGCGTAGTGTGAAGCTGCCCACGTCGCAGCAAGCAGTGCAGGAACAAAGATACAAAGGAAAGTATCACTATGAACAGTCGGAAAAGAGTGCGCAGACGACAAAGGCCCAGGAAGAGATCGGCGTTCGAGGAAGCTTAACGCGTTCGTTATCCGTTGGTAAGGGACGAAGCCGCGCCGACAGGGTCTGGCATGCTCCAACATGTCGTCTGAGTGGACACTCGCCCTCCACTTTACCGCCGCACACCCGCCGACGCTTGATCTCGAATTGATTTTGGTCTCGATTGAGGGCGTCTTCCCCCTTCAGGAGGCGATCGTCACTCGTCTTCTGTGGGGAGCAGCTGCCATCGCCCACGCTACAGCGCCCCGCCCCAGCGTGTTAACCAGAGTTGACGCAACGCTCGTGTGCAGCCTCGTATCCTGACAAAACACTGCAACAGTGCGTGCACAACGCATCCAACACCGTGACATGCAACCGCTGGCTTGTACCGACCCCGGTCACGCAGGCCTTGCATTCCTCAACCACGTCCACTGTGTTTCACACGTAAGACGCGGTTTTAGTGGCCCTCAAAAGGCCTGGGGAATACAGGCCAGGCACGCCGTGTGATTGGGTGGCAATGTTACACAAGGTTGCCGACATCCGCAGTCAGCCTCGTCAACGCTCGTGTTTCAGGTGCTTGTTTAGTAACGACGCGCCACAAGGTCACCCCTTGCTTATGCGCTGGCCCCGGTCCAGCTGAACGAGCAGTCTGCCAAACTCTCTGCGAACTGGTCAGCCACGTCTCGTGCCAGATTTAAATGAATGATAGGAAATGAGTTTTGGCTCAGAAATTGTAAAAGTGATCGCACACCGAGTCCACAGTGGGATCTCTGATACGCAGTATCTGTAGGTAAGCCAGTCGCGGAGATGTCAAGTCCGCACGACTGTCTCTGCCATCACGGCCGGGGAAGGGTAAAGCAATGTAGCACATACCTTGTGTGGAGGGAGGAAAGCCGGTTCCTCTTCGTGGACTGTCGGTGTTGTGAGCATTTCACCGAGGAACATGTGGACGCAGCCATTCTATGCCAATGCCGTATGTTATCAATATCCAAGCTTTTATCTATCATCCAGTCATCCAGTCATGTCCGTTTCTCTTACCCTGAATTCACAAGCTGTTGTTACGTGGTGTCCCTGTTTTCATACCAGAAACTCACTGTCAAGGAAGTCCTCTATCTAATCTCAAAATCACCTTCTCGTCGTAGCTGATTCGATTCGCTCTCTAAGCGCCACCGGCGGCCTTGACGATCTCCGATACCTTCCTGGCCAGATCTTCGGCTTCCGCCTTGGTCGCAGCCTCAGCGTACACACGCACAGCGTCCTCGGTACCACTGGCGCGGGCGAACGAACGACCCTGGCGGACCTTCTGCACTTCCTTGTCGATCTGTGCCTGGACACCCTCGGGGCTTGTAAGCTTACGCTCAGCATCTGTGGTCTTGAAGATGGTGCGGTCGTTGACAAGGACCTTCAGAAGGCGGTTAGGAAGATCGGTGTAAGTGGAGAGCCACTCCTGGGGTCCCCAGTGCTTGTGCGCAAGGACGACTTCGACCAACAAGAAGTCGGAGAGCGCATCACCAACCGACTGGTTGATGAGGTTGATGCAAGCCTGCAGGACTTCGATGGCCTCCTTCTCGCCAGGGTTCCTTGGTTCGTACTTCTCGATTGTGTCGAGGGTGTCGTGTGAGAAGATGACAGTACCGTGACCATTGGCTTCGAAGTAGACTCCAATATCGAGCTTCTCCGCGGCGTGGTGAAGGTACTTGACACCGGTAGGAGTGCAGTCGACCTTGAGCCTCAGGTTCTGCTCAACGTAATTTGTGGCGGCTCCGTTTGCATACGCGGTCTGCACCACGCCGATCTTGATGGAGTCTGCGAGCCCGCTCTGGCGCACAAGATCTCCGAGGAAGGAAGCGACGAGGGTCGCAATGCGGTCACCGTCCAAAAGACGGAAAACGTTCTGCTCGTCCTTGAAGTAGTACACGACACGGTCAGCGTCACCATCGAGGGATGCGCAGCGGTCGCCGGGTCCGGCCTTGGAAGAGGGAGGAGCGCGCTGGTTGGTCTTGACGTAGTCTGCACCGCACTGCAATCCTAGTTAGTAAAATGCGCAGATCAATCCAGATGGCGGGCTTACATCGACGTTCAGGCTCTCAGGCTTGATGACGTTGTCGTTGATCACGGAGATCTCGAGGCCGCCCTCTTCCTTCGATGGCAGGTACTTGATGAGCTCCTTCAGCTTCGGTCCACCGACGCCATTGGCGCCGTCTACAGTCAGGGAACCTGAAGGCTTCTTGCCACGCAACGCAGTCTTGAAGGCAGCGCCGAACTTCTCGTAGTAGCCCTGCTCGGTGGCTGTACCGTATGCGTCCTTTGTGCCCTCAGTGTTCAGGCAACGGACCATATAGTGCAGCTGAGGTGTGGTCAAGAAGCCGTACTCCTTGACCTCGGCACCGGCAGCCGCAAGACCGTCCTGCAGGCAGCCGAGTAGCCTTGCTCCAGATGCTCGTGTGTCGCGAGCAACGACGACGCGGGCGGGGGTGTTCAGGTCGATCTTGAACTTTGCGGCGATATCGTGGTAGTACTGCGAGACGTGTTCGGGGGAAACCTTGTTCGCCATTTCGGTACTGATCACTTCCCAGTCCTCCTATGCATCGTATTAGAATCCTGTCTCCGCATCATCCCCCCTCCCCCCTCCCCCCTCCCATCACCCCCCCCCTTAAAGAGTTGGTATAACGTACCTGCAGCATGTTGCCCTGTGATCTAGTTAGCCTGGCGTCTGAAGTAATCAGTCAATAGCACAAACCAATGGCTCAACGAGCTTTACACCATTATCCTGAGGAGGGTTATGGGATGCTGTGATCATAACACCGATCCATTTGCCCTTCAGAGCTCGCGATCGGAGGGCAGCGATGAAACCAACGCGTGTGAGGACCGAGTCGAGGACATCGCTGCTGCGGTCAGCTTCATGCTGCGGGGGCCCGAGGTAGACATGAGGATGGGTTTGGACGAGGAAGTCTTACGCTTTGGTGCGGAACTATACGGTGGTCAATTAGTCCGGCTCTGGACATATCACAGGGCTGTACTCACTCCAGCGGTGCCATATGTGTAAACAAGCCCCTCAGGCGCAGGGTGCTTCTGCGCAGCATCGGCGATGGGGTCAGACATGTTGAGAGGTGGGGGTAAAGTCAAAATCTGCAAGTACAGGCGATGGGGTATCAAACGAATAGCTCACACTCAGCAAAGAGGAGAGAATGGCAAGTTGGAGAAAACCAAACGTCAATTGAGGCGGCGTGCGGAGGTCTGATGTAGCTTGCCAGAACCTCAGCAAAGCCCCACCAAGCTACAGGGATCATGCAGCTCCAAGATCAGCGGCGTGCTTTCTATATCGAGTGGACGTTGCATTGTCCGTACCTGACGAGCTACTTGCGGCCACAGCATCGTCAATTGTGCTTCGTACCTTATCTGTGACCTGTAGCACTTGTACGATAATGGCCGTCTTCAGAATTTCATTTGTAGGCATCTACTCAATGCGAAACTGCGCAATTGGAAACTCGAACGCAGATTGCGGGGTCCTGAGCGATCTTGACCGCCTCTTTGTGAGCATGTACGTAAGATGAGGCCTTTGTGCCTATACTTTGCGCACGCCTGGAGGCAGTGCTTGTAGTCAGCATTGAAACGAACGTCAACATCACTTCAAAGCTCACGAAAAGTTTTGTGGGAGAGATGAACTTGGCTGCCTTCATGGAAGAAGGAGCATTGATAGAGACTAGCTAAAGTGTCGAAGAAAGTCCAGGTCCTACGCAGCTACCAGATACTGATGAAGCTACTGCCAAAAGAAAAGGAATAGAGCTTCGATGCAAGCGCTCAGAAGCCCTGTGGGCCGAGACCAGGGAATGGCCTTGGGTTACCAAACCCACCAACAAGGACACTGTGTCCTGGGACTGGGCTGCCAATCTCGCCCAATGTTGCAGGCGGAGGCGCCGCCATATCGACGAACTTGATGTGTGAGAGACGACCGGGCCCAGACTCCTTGTATTCGAGAGAGCCACCGCCGTTCGTCTGGGTACTATCGATGATATCGCACGCTTCCTTGATTTCCTCAGGCGTAACGGCCGGCTCGCTAGGGTTTCGCAGGTTGTCGATCTGCTGATGTACCTCTGATGCATCAACATAGCCGTCTTGCGTAGGCTGACGAGCGGCGACTATCTTGCAAGCGGTGCAGACCATTCGGCGCAGCCACACTATGCGCTGTTCATTAGGACCACGCTCGTTGGTGCGGATGTTACCGACGGGGAATGGATTGGTGAAGAAGCCAGAGGTGGGCGAGTTGCCCCATGTGGCACCGGAACCCAATGAGAAGGGCAAGGGTGGTGTGCCCCAGATGTTACCACCGGGCGCTCCAAAGGCGGAGAAAGAGTCGTTCCTGGATGGTATCGGCGCGTCTGCGAACCCAAAGCCCATAGGAGTGCCTCTAAAGGAACCGTGCTGCTGTACGCTTGCTCTTCGCTCAGGGGGTTCAGGAATGTCTTCTACGTCATCGAGTAGAGCCTTGCTACCTAGATGGTCAGCGAGCTCGTCAACATCAGGTCGTGACTCGTCATCCGTCGCTTTGGTGCTCGAGGGACGCTTGATGGGCGTCGGCCGTTGTATCGGCTGTGCCTGAGGACCCGAGATAGGGCTGTCAACACTTGGCAGTCTGTCAAACGATCCAGATCCTTGTCTCGAATGGGGCGACATGCCCATGCCAAATCCGGGGATCTGGTTTGATCCTCCGAATCCTGGCATCGGGCCAAACCCAGGAGGACCGTCCATTGGGAACCCGCGCCCCATTGGCATACCTGGCGGAGGGAAGCCACGAAAGTTCTGTGTACCAAGTTGCGGCGGGAACGGAGGCAGCCCTGGACGGGGAGCCATCATGCCAGGCAGCATCGAGCCCTGCCCTGGGAAACCATTGAGACCTGGAGGCATTCCGCCCGTGTTGAAGCCCGGTGGGCCCGGCATACCAGGTGGAGGTCCTAGAGGAGGCATTGGTGGCGCTGGCTGGCCGTGCTGGAGGTGGCTCTGATGTTGCGCTGCTGTTGGCTTCGTCAAGATCGACTTTGGCATGATAGGTCCATAGGCATTCGTAGGCGACATTGATTTGCTTGTACCCGGCGCGGCCTGCGGCATGTTCGGCGAGGAGCCATGCGAGCCTTGCTGGGAGGCCTGACGAGGTCGGTTCGGTGTTGGTGCCTTGGGCAAGGCTGGAGTAACGTGCGGCGAGGGCATTCCGGAGGACGATGTTTGCTTCAGCAGCTGAGGTGGCAGCGCAACAGGTGGCTGTGATGCCTTCCGTGCGCCAGCTGCTGCAGCTTGTTTATCAGCTTTAGCCTTCGCATCGCGCTCTTTCCTCTCCTTGTCTTCCTGGATCCTCCTCTCACGAGCCTCTTTCTCTTTCGCTTCTCGCTCTTCACGCTCTTTTCGCTTGGCCTCTTCCTTAGCTTTCTTCTCTTGCGCCTTGGCTTCGCGTGCTTTCCTTTCGGCTTCCTGTTGCCGGTCGCGCTCTTCTTGTTGACGCTTCTGACGTTCGGCCTCCTTGCGCTGCTTCTCCTCTTCTTGGGCTTTGCGTTCAGCCTCTTTCTTCCTGCGCTGTTCTTCTCGCTTCTTGCGCTGTTCCTCCAATCGCTTCTCTTCCGCAGCTTTAAGCTCAGCTTCTTTGGCAGCCTGCTCCGCTTCTTTGCGAGCTTTCTCCTCAGCCTTTTGCTGCTTCTGCTTCTCCTTCTTCTCTTTCCGCTTTTGGGCCTCTTTCAGCTTCTTAGCCTCCTTCTGATCTTTGCGTTCGTCCTCTTCTGCCAGCTCTTCAAGCAGCCGTTGTTGCCTTTCTGCCGCCACCTTTTCTCGATACGCCTGAAGGACTCGCTGCTCAAACATGCGCGCTGCAAATATTTGAAACATTCGCCGCCCTTCCTCCATCCTCTGCTCCTCAGTCATGGTATCCTGCAATCCATTAGCCAAGATACCAGCGATCTCGCCAACAGTACGCACATCGTCGTCCTCGTCGTCCTCTTCGTAGTCCTCGTCCTCGTAGCCCTCTTCCTCGTCTCCCTCGTCGTCGAAGTCGTCTTCTTCCGGTGGAGGACCGTGGCCGTGGGCGTTGTGCGTCTGATACATGCTTGGGTGAGCCTGGTACTGAGCCTCTTCTTCCCTCTGCATCCTGCGTTCGGCAAGCTGCTCCATCATCTCGATGAATTTCTTCCCGTCGTTTTTCAGCAGATCGTCAGCAACCGTCAGTATACCACCTAGCCCAAGAAATTAGCCATGTTCGTGTATCCAGATAGCGGACGTTCACCTTTCACCTGAAGACTACTGCCAAAATGGAGAAAGTCTGACGCTTCGGGCGGTGGCAGACTACGTTCCTCCGAGCTGTAGTCGCCCTCGGAGGAGATCTCGCTGTTCGAATAGTCCTCCTCTTCGTCGCCGGAGTATTCTTCGTCATCGTCATCGTCCTCCTCTTCATCGTCGTCGTCGTCGTCGTCGGCGTAGTGATGGCCGTGGGCAGGCGGTGGGTGTGTGGTCATGAGAGGGCGCGGGTGCGGGGCACTGGAGACATGACGGTAATTAGCATCTGGCAAGAAACTACCGACGTCTTGCTGAAGGTGCGCGTACTGCTCGAGCTCTTCATAATATGCATCATATAGAACCTCCAGCTCCTCCTCGATGGCCGTGCGCTTCCTCCCACACACCGAGCAGCTGCACGAGTGCTTCTGCTGTTCCTTCATTTTGCGCAGGACGGCCTCCTTCTCGATTTTGACGAGCGACTTGCGTTCGTCTTCGCCGAGGGATAGCCAGAACTCCCGGATGCGCTCCCGCTCCTCCTGGGTAGACGTGTTCCATATACGGTCCTTCCGCGGCCCAGTAGATCTTGTGGCGTGCGCGTGCGCGGGTGCAGGGCTGTGTCGCGGTACCACGTGCTGTGTGTAGGCAAGCGGAGGGGGCGCCTGGGAAGCTCTCTTCTTCCGCTTCGACTTCTTGGCACTGCCGCTGGCCATTGGTGCGTGCCCGTAGGCCTGCTGGTAGTGACCGTTCGCGCCATAGGCATGCCCCTCGTAGTGCTCGACCTCCTCGTCTGAGTAGAACTCGGGCTCGTCGTCGTCGTCGTCGTCGTACTCGGGCTCGTCGAGCTCGGGCTCAGCGTACTGGAGGGCAGGCTGGCGGGCGAGGGCGGAAGCCAGGGCGGGTGACACGCCATGCACGCCGTTCTTCAGCGCCGGCGGGGGGAGGACAGAGGGCTCCTGCGCGGCTTTCTTCGCAGCTTCCTTCTCCCGCCGCTTCTGCTTCTTGCGATTCACCGCGGCCGGCTGGGGTGGGCGTGCGCCGACGGTGCCATTGGGGGGCATGGCTGCGGGGGCTGGCCCTTTGGTGCCGTGAGCCATAACGCCTGAGGAGAGGGGCGGTGGTGAGGGGCGTGGTGCTGGCGGAAGACGTCAGAGGGGGGTTCTGCGGGCGGTGACAAGTGACTGGCAGCTCCGAGAGCCCGACTAGCGTGCTCGGCCACTGGCGCAGCAAAAGAAAGAGGGACTGGGTGCTGGAGGGGCCGGGGAAGACGCACTGAGAGGCGCGGGTGGGCGACAGTCTCCGCAGGGAGCGGTGGCAGAGACTGGGGGGAGAGTCGTCGTCACGGGTCGTGTGCGCGGTCGGAGCGTAGGTCGGGCGGTACTCAGGTACTCTATCCTCGAGTGGCTGTGGTGTTGATGCGGCAGGTGGTTGTAGCGGCTTGGCGGTGCGATCGTCCCTTCAGGCTGGGAGTCTGGGAGACGGGCGCAGCACACATCCGTCTCCGCCAACACCGCTCGCACCACCGCTCGCACCACCGCGCAGACGCACCGGCTGGCTATTTTGCTATTCTTGACACCTCCGCCCGTGCTCGAGCCCTGCATCATCACCACCGGCTCTTCCGACCACATCGCTGCCACCGTCGCGCTCCATTCTTAAGCGCCGCGCTCCCCGCCGTCTCGCTCACCTCCCAGCCGTCCCCGTACTGTCGCAGCTCGCCCACGCAGCTCCTCGTCCACGCAGCGCCGCCCTCCCTCACCCACCCGCCCTCCACTCGCTTGCCGTCAGTCGCTCCAGTCAGTCCCTTGTGGGACACCCCGTTCAGGCGACTCTCTCTGTCTCACCCGTCGGCCCTCTCGCCCCCACGTTCGTCGCTGCTCGAGCCTCGCCCGGCCTTCCGGCTCGCTACCCAGCGCCTGCACCGACTGCCTCCACCGCCTGGTCGCTGCAAGTCGCTGCAAGTCGCTGCAAGTCGCTGCAATTACACCCGTCGAGACATCCTGCATTCCTATCGACCAATCTCGCCCTGCCTACCAGCTGTCAGCACCACGGCCGACTAAACGTCGCCAGCTTCCCACTCGACGAGACACTCGCCTGCCGTCCAGCCAACCGCAACACCACCCCGAGCCTGCTGCGTTGTACACGGCACGCCATCCACCATGTCGCAGCAGCAGAATAACGGCGAGCCTGTGATGCGTAGGTAAGTCGCAATTCTGCTTTTCGCCGTTTGTTGTCAGACCGAGCACCCTTGTTTGTTGCGCCTTGCGTGTCGATCATCACTTTTGCGCCTGCCATTACTTGCATCTCCCAGCCTTGGCTCCCTGCAGGCTCTCCTCCAGGCTTTTCTTCTGTCATTTTCTCTCCATTTCTGTCAGTTTGCATCGCCCCACAGCTCCAGCAACGCCATGCTGCAACGCGTGCATTGTTTGGAGCTGTCGCGACCCCGGCTCAACCGTAGTCTGCATTGGTGCCCCGGTCCGACCACACGCTGGCCTAAAAATAGGGCGCTGTACATGCCACCCCATGCCCACTTTTATCGACTTTTATCGACTCTCGTACCATTCTCTCGTTGTTTGGTTCAAGATCGTTGCTCACGTCAGTATTCGATTCAAGCACACTATTGCTTGCCGTATTCGACTTTTTTTTCCGCTTGTGCAACGCCAGGCCTGCGTGTTTGTGCATCATGCTGATCTGAGACCAACAGGAAATTGGTAATTATCGGCGACGGAGCTTGCGGCAAGACTAGTCTTCTCAGCGTATTCACCCTCGGCTACTTTCCTACTGTGGGTGTCTCCCCTCCGAGCTGCGCCACAGCTCAGCTGTCAATGTAGCATGCTAACGTGTCATGCAGCGTTATGTTCCTACCGTCTTCGAGAACTACGTCACAGACTGCAGGGTAGACGGCAAGTCCGTTCAGCTGGCGCTCTGGGATACTGCAGGCCAGGAAGACTATGAACGCTTGCGCCCACTCGCCTACAGCAAAGCACATGTAATCCTCATCGGCTTTTCCGTCGACTCACCTGACTCGCTGGAGAACGTCAAGCACAAGTGGGCTGAGGAGGCACGCGAAAGATGTCAAGGCATCCCCATCATACTTATTGGGTTGAAAAAGGATCTTCGTGACGACCCTCTCGCTCAGGAGGAGATGAGGAAGAAGTCGCTCCGTTTCACTACACCCAAGCAGGGCAGCGATATGAAGGAGATGATCGGCGCCCGCAAATACCTCGAATGCTCCTCCCTGACAGGAGACGGTGTCGACGACGTTTTCGAAGCTGCCACGCGCGCTGCGCTACTTTCTGTCGACAAGAAAGAGGGCGCCGGCTGCGGTTGCGTAGTTCTATAAGCGGCTCGATCACTCGCTTCACGAGCGATTTTCGCACATTATCAGCATTGGGTGGCGTTATCTTCTTTGGGCTACCACCAATTGCCAGGCGTTGTTAAGCGTCTGCTGCATATTCTTCTTGCGTTGTTTATCTACGTCTCCTGTTCGAAAAGTTCCTGTAGCAATGGTGGGAAGAATGCTTTCAGTTCTCATGGACATATTAAGCATAGGGTTGTTGCCAAAGGGCGGACATGTGGTCTGACGGACTAATGATGATGATGGACTATCATCTATCACTCATTCTATCAGTGGTGCATATTTCGGGGGATGGGCATAGCTTTGGAAGAACATGGTTGGAACAGGCATAGCATATGAGTGCCGAGCGCTAATACTATCACGCATTGCCTTTGTCGACGACGTTTTTTCTTCATCCACTCGGTCAACCCTCTTTGTGATTAATGGTGATGCTTATAGTACACTGAAATGTACACCTTGCGTAATGCTTGCCCAGACAAATATGATACACTCTCAACACCACACCTATACCCCTCTAATTCCGTGTCCACTCATGGTTCCACCCCTGCCGACTTGGGTAATCTGTCTGCACCCTCGCATACTCCACTGGCACACTCCCCCAGATCCCCCTCTTAATCATCGCACTCCTATACAGCCTGCCCACCTCGCGTCCCCTAACACCCAATCGTCCAGCATCAGGTCCCTGGCCACCAGCCTCCTCCTCACTGACTTTGTTGCCGTTCGAATCCATCAGACGCAGGTGTTCGCACGCGGCGCGCATCGACATGTATTGGCGCTCGAGTTCGCGCTCCTCAGCCCAGCGGCGCTTGCGCAGGAAGAGCATCCAGGCGCGGTGGATTGTCCAGTGGCGGAGGTAACGGTTGCGAGAGAAGTGGAGAGGGCGTGGGGTTAGGGGGTGGGAGAGGTGGTAGCGGATGTTTGCTGGTGCTGGTCTTAGCCTTGATCTTCCATCGTGGCGCATTCAATATAGGTGGTGATTTCAATTTTCTCGTATCGTATAAGCGAGGGAGACGTACTGATTCTGGGGTCCTTCCCCGGGCCTTTAGCCCTTTTCTCCAGGCGTGCTGTGGAGGAGAAGTTCGATGCCGAGGCGGGTGTTCTTGTCGCGGCGCATTGTGTGGCGGGTGTGCGGAAGAGCGAAGCTGCGGCGCTGAATGGCCGAAAGACCGGGCGAAAAGACGAGAGATTCATTGTGTGGGTGACGGCGGTGCAATTGCAACGATGTTGATGGCGTGTGAGCGTTGCTGAGGTTCTTGAGATATTTCGAGATGCCAAGCCGTTAGCGTACGGAGGTCAAGCGGAGGAGACGTCCATTTAAGCTGTTACATCACTCTCCGGTCCATCGAGTTGTCAAGATATGCTTGCTACACTCATACAGTCCTTAGATCGGTTGCCGGAAGCAGTTGCCGAGGGCAAGTGAAGGATCTGATTATTGTTAGTTGAAGAGGTCAAACCGAATGCTCACAAGAGCAAGCTGCGCCTCAAGAGTTTCAAAGACAGCACTCACTTATCCTCCCATCAACATGGTGCACACATGTAAGTTTCGACTTGCTCGTCAAGCAAACATTCTGGGTAAGAGCTTCCACGTGGCCGGCTGTCCATCTGCGCCCAGAGTGCCTTCCATGTCTTGATCGCAGCCTTCTTTCAGACTCTGTTCGTGCGTACTCACTCCGCATGACACACCCTCACACTATCGTACATTCATCGACCCCTTTGCGCTTCTATCGTTAATACATAAATTTCGCTATCTTTCGCTCTTCCGTTTCTTCAATAATGCAGTTCGAGCCTCCCCTAGGCAGCACCTTTCAAGCGTACCACAAAGCGATCGACGACGTCGTGCAATGGATTGCGTCAACAGCGCGTGCGACTGGTACGGTTGGACATTTGTTCGAGAAGGATGTACCGACAGCGCATCGATCGTTTCTCCAGAAATTGAAGGACAAGCGCGCAGCACCTCCTTCACTTCTAAGGAAGCTTAAGGGTAAAACGCGAAACCAGACGAAGTCAACGGTCAACGCTACCTCGCCCTCGACGATCGAGATCTCTTACAAGACCTTGAGGAGACTCGGCAAAGCGATTGCGAGTGCAGACAACATCGAAGTGGATTACAACGTCTTGGTGGTTCTCAAAGGTATCATACACGCTCGAAAAGGATTTGCTACGTAGTGCGTCCGCAGTCAGGAAGAAGTCACAGTATCGGAGACGATGAGGAAGAACAACAAATGGAGACGCCGCATCATATGTCTATTGGACGAATTACTCATGGATCTACAAAGTCGGCCTCCGAGCCTTGAACAGGCTGTCGTCATTGAGAAACTTGCAGCGTTGAGCAACCGTGCCGACAGTATGTTCGGGGGCCTCAAGAACGTCGAGATCACTGAGACGCTCTACTACACGAGACCCATCGAGATACCGAAGACTCCCGACCAGGTTGTTTACAAGTTGGAGGATTATGCAGAAGACACAGCGTTCGCTATATATTGCCTGTTCCAGGATGCAACCTACATTCGAATGTTCTCGGCACGAGCGTGGCGCGAATTCACTCTCGGCGCGATTGGGGTCCAGATTGCCACTTTCTGCACGAACATCGCATTTGCAGAAATCGAATTGATGTCTGGAGAGTTCCTAAAGAGATTCGATCGCTTCCAGGAGAAGAAGACGACGCGAACACATACCGAAGTTGAAAGGTTTTTTCGAGCGCACTGCGGTGACGATGAACGTTCGTCGAGCCCAGATGCTATCAGCCTGAACTGCGAGGACGTTGACTTTGCAAGACATGCAAACCGAAGGCTGGGCTACTACGTGCGCGATCTGGGTTGTACGCGAACAACGCGTGCGGTATTTGAAGCATTTCTCGTAGCACCAGGACAATTTTGGGGCGAAACACAGGATGATATGCGTCTGCTAAAGTCTCTGTGCCAGCTGCGCGTGTATGAGTGGCAGACAGACTTGACCGCGTGGGTGTTCAAGGCAGACTGCATGTACTCGGCAGCTAATGCCCTCGTCTCGGGTCATATTGACACCGACCATGTGTTTGCCGCACAGATGTTGTCAGACATCCAACAGCTAATCGATCCTCAAATTGTTGGCATTGAAGATATCCTCGAACAGGTCAGCCGAGATTTGCATCGTCTGTACGGGAGGTACATCTCAGAATGGAACACCGAAAATCTCGCAACCAGTCACTATTGGAGGACTAAGCATATGTTCGAACAGTACACGTTCCTTGAAAACAAGGCAAACAATGTTAGCGCTTTTCAGGATTTCATGGAAACGTGGGAGAAAGCAACCGGCAGACAATGCACTCTCCCAGGTTTCCGGCTACTGCGCCATGCTCCATTGCTCATTGGACAGCTTGTGGCTCAATTTCGGTTCCAGTTCCAGGAAACTTTCTTGGATATCGCAAATGATCAGGGGCATATTCTATCTGCCATTCATCTTTACCACGCCGCTAAATACTCCCAAGCCTTACAGACAGAGCGATGGGAAGATATGGAGTGGATGATCGAACATCAATGCTACGATACGATATTCGCAGGCGAACCACCAGCGAATAACGCAGAGTACGCGAGCCGGTTCTGCCTTGTCTATGGTCTTGACCCAACCAAGTTTGCGGTCAGTCGCAAGGCCACAAAGCTAGAGCGAGTCAAAAACGACATCTATCTCAAGAATGGCTGTCCAAGACGTCTCGAGAGTCCGTCACAATTCGTCAGGACATACTCAAAGACGATCAAAGCAGAAGACGTAAAGTCTCTGACAAGTCAGTGGAGGATAACAGCCATGGAAGAATTTGCCGATACCCAACTGGACAAATTCTCGCCCTACGGCAAACCCAACAACATTGGCTATCTCACTGCGGCGAAAGAGGGATATGAGAGCGATGAAGAGGCGCTCATCTTCGACATCTTCGATTTTCACTCAAGGTGCTCCCAGCTCCTTCGAAGCATCCGAGATCTGTGTCTCGAGGAAGCGCCCGAAGACTATCCTGCTATCAGATTTGGCGGTGAAGAAGGTATCAATCCTACACTCGCAGAGCTACTCCGCGACCTGACTGAATGCCCGCGTCATCACGAAAGAATGTGGCCCAAAGCCGTGGCGTTGTTGCGCGACTTGATTGAAAAAGAAGGTGGGGAGTGTTGCGACATGGCGTGGGCACGTATGGGTATGACGAAGTTGGAGTCAACCAGTTTGGACAGCGAGGGCTCTGTGGACGAATCGGAATCTGACACAGCGATGGAAACTCCACCGCCTGGTTCAGATGGGCAAGGCCCAGAACCGGACGAACGAGCACCTGGCGATCGAGCACCTGACGCTTCGAAATCGGAAAGTTCGGAAGGCGGAGCTAGATCCCACACCCTGAAGGAGGGATCAGAAACTGGCTCGTTTGATCCGAAATCATCTCAACAACGAATGAGGTAGGGTTACATGTCTCGAGCACCGGGATGATGCTGACTTGGTGCAGTAGTTTGCTAGCCGATACCGAGGAGCTGAAACACTTGGAGCGACAATTTGAAGAGAAAGGCTTGACTTTTGGGCGGTGGGCAGAAGGTGGCTGTCGGATTGTCGCTCCAGATGGCACCATTGTGGCCTCGTGTGATCCCCGCGAAGTGGAGAGCCTGGCACTTGGGGAGCGATCCGATGCTGCCAAAGAGGGCGCAGAGCCTGAAGTAAGAGTGCTGGCTCTCAATCGCCTACCGTCCGACTATTTAGAAGAGTAAGCGTGTGTGCAACAAGTTTTCGTTATCGCGCTAACAGTCTCTAGTGGTTGGGTTCAAGCGCAATGGTTGATCAAGGAATGGCAACAAGGTAGAATGGCCATGGAGATATTGAAAGACGGAAACATGGAATTTCTAAAGGACGGTAAACTCAAGGTCCTAGTCACAACCGGTGACTTACCGTGTATGTAAAGAGGAGCATATAGGTCTATCTGCTCCGTAGACGAGCAGCCCATCACTGCATCGCAAGCCTTATCATCACAATGCTGTTGAAAACATAACAAGTAGCTGAAACAAATTGCTGATTTGGGAAGCTCCCGAGGATACAAAGGGAACCAATATGTGAGATAGCACAGGTAAGAGAGCTTGCAACGATAAGCTTGTAGTTGGTTGATTGTGTTGTTGATGGTTACCTAATGCGATTTTTAAGATGAAGCTATTGGAAAAGGTGCTGAGGCCTCTGTACAGTTGTCTTGTGGTGTTGTAAGTCTTACCAGAGGGTCACTGCAAAGCTTCTCCCACCATTGACTTGGAGCAGTGCACACCTAGATGGCAACTCCAATATTCTTGCTCTTATCTCCATAGTTATATTATTGCAGTCTTCTGTGAGGCTTCTTTTAAGCATCCTCTTAGTATCATCCCAAGGTCTCTCATAGCCCCAGTATCCTGCTAAAGTCAGTGTTTAACAAATTGTTTAAGGATATTCTAGCACCCCTCAATAGGGTTTAGATCAGGAGACTGTGCAGGGTGAAGGAGTGAGAGAAGCCAGGAGACATTCCTGAGGTTTTGGGCAATGTTATCCTTAGTCTTCATACCATGGCAAGGGTCTCTATCTTCCTAGAGTATTGTCATCCTGACATGGCTTGCAGCCAATAATAATCCACCCAGTCACACCTCATGGAACCTCATGGAACCTCATGGAACCTCATGGAA